GGAGAGGGGGTGGGGACAGGGACGGGGTGGGAAGGGGGGAGGGGGAGAACGAGGAGGATGAACAGGAGCCGCCGCAGCATGGTAGCAAACTGGTTGGCCCACGTCGGCTCAGCGTGCGCGCAGGGCCGGATGTCACTGCGTGGTGGGGATGTCTCGGGTATTATGTGCACTCAAGTGCCTTCTTATGGAACATGCACGCTTTCATTCCACCTTGTCCTGTCGCAGGCTGCATGCGCTAGTTACACACCACCCCTCACAATGGGCGACCGCGCATGGGGGGTAGCAGCGTCCAAGGTCGATGCCGACAGCGACACCAACAGCAAGAGGGTAGATATTGTGCAATGATATGGGGGAGAAGTGATGGGGGGGGAGAAAAGGGAAAACCGTGGTGAAGCGAGGGGAGGAGAGGTGAATGAGGAGGAGGAAGAGAAGTAACGGGGAGGAGACGGAGGACGAGAAAGACCAGATGTTGTAAGATTTGACACAGCTGCGGCCCTTGTCCAGACTACCTGCAAACCTCTCTGAAAAAAAACGTGGCCATCAGGAGGTGAGGCGGGGCGAAGAGCGAAGAGTGGATGAACAACACACATAAACATAAACTTGTTGAGCTCCGCGCGTACTTCTCGTTTCGGCGCCGCCAGGGGCCTCCAGCGCAGACCCAAGACTTCCGCGCGGAGCTCCGACAAGTTGCGCTTATTTGCTAATTATTGGCGGCGGGCGAGGGGCGGAAGTGAGAAGGATAAGGCATTCTGAGGCTTCGGAAGTCCCCTGGCCTTCTGAAAAGTTTTCTCAGCCCTGCCCGAAGGCACGCAAAAACTCCTCAGACGGCGCGAGGGCTTCTGAGAAGTCCCGCCGCCTTCTGAGGAGGCCTTCTTCCTCTCACCTTCCCACCCCTCGCTCGCTAACGAAATTCCTCCTCGACATCAGGAGGCGAGGCGGGGCGAAGAGCGAGAAGGGCCCTCCGCGAGAGGAGGAGGAGGAGGAGGAGGAGGAGGAGAGGAGGAGGAGGAGGAAGGCAGGAGGAGGAGGAGGAGGAGGAGGAGGAGGAGGAGAGGGCGAGGAGGAGGCAGGAGGAGGAGGAGGAGGAGGAGGAGGAGGAGGAGGAGGAGGGAGGAGAGGAGGGAGGAGAGGAGGAGGAAGAGGAGGAGGGGGATGAGGAGGAGAGGAGGATGAGGAGGAGGAGGAGGAGGAGGAGGAGGAGGAGGAGGAGGAGGAGAGGAGGAGGAGGAGGAGAGGAGGAGGAGGAGGGAGGAGGAGGAGGAGGAGGAGGAGGGAGGAGGAGGAGGAGGAGGAGGAGGAGGGGGAGTCGGAGGAGGAGAGGGAGCGAGTGAGCGAGGCGGGCCGACGCCTGCGCCGTCGCCCGCTCGACCGCCTCGGCCTCCGCGGCGAGCTCCGCGGGCACCTGCCGCGCCGGGCGGCGGGGCCGCGGCACGCGGAGGAGAGGCGGGCGGCCACGGACGGGGCGCCCAAAACGGTGCGGTGGCAGTCGCGAGCGAGTGAGCGAGCTCGTGGGAGGAGGAGGAGGAGGAGGAGGAGGAGGAGGAGGAGGAGGAGGAGGAGGAGGAGGATGGGGATGAGGGTTGTAGGCCTGTGGGGGATGCGACAACGAGCGTCGAGACTGTGGAATTACTGGCGCAGATCCTCGACAATCTTGGGCGGGCCTCTCACACAAGGGTGAGGAGGAGGAGGAGGAGGAGGAGGAGGAGGAGGAGGAGCAGCAAAACGGAAGAGGAGGAGGATGAGGAGGAGGAGGAGGCTTCCTCAGATGGATTCCTAGAGCGAGCGTGCATTCCTGAGACCGCTTACGATCGCTGTATCGGGCGGTTCGACACGACACGGACCTGCTGTGCCCACGAAACTGGTCCTGGAGAGAGCCTGGTGTACACCTACCCTGGAAAAGTAATGCAACTCTCGCGCGAGGTCCATACCCCCGCGAAACATCAAAACAGATGACGAAGTCACGAAGTCCGTTTTAGGGGTGTGGGGCCCGTTTCCCTCTGGATCCCTCTCCATCGCGGCAAGCCAGGAGGACGCCTCCCCCCTCCTCGTTCTCGGCCACCTCCTCACCCCTCTCCTGCTCCCGGCTCCTCCACCTCCTCCTCCTCCTCCTCCTCGCCATGCCGCGCCCCCCTTCCGGCCCCAATCCGGGGCGAGCGCGAGCGGGAGAAGCGTAAGGCTAAACCAAAACAGGCACAACATCGGACAACGCAAAATCGAGTATCTCTGAGACCCCGCGGTTCTGAGAGATGTGTCAAGTGTCGGGCAACGCTCTGGAATGATTTTGTCATTGTCCAGCCGAAGGCGGTCGGGGAGGTGAAGAGGAAGGGGAAGGGAGGGACCGGGGGCAAAGCTGAAGGGAGGAGAAAGAGGAGCAAGGAGGGGAGGAACAGTGAGGAGGAGGCTGCAAAAGGCTGTAATAGAGAAGGGAGCAAACTCCATCGCAGTCAGCGAAACTTCTGTGAAGGCGAGGGGAGCCCGCAGGACCCCGTGGGCCTACTCGAGGCTCTCCTCCTTGCTACGCTCCAGGCGGCACCGCTGCACCGCTTACAGTCGGGGCGTTGACCTAAGGCACCCGAAATAAGGAACGAGGCCCCTTGTTCCCACGAGTAAAACTTTGATTTCCCATCGAAAACCTTAGGAAAACCTAAGGCAAACTGCGGAACAATCAAGGAACACGGAACCCCTCCACAACGAAAAGGGTTCCTTCTTCGGGGCCCCGACTGTACATACGCGTCCAATGGCTCGGGCACCCCGAACCCGCTGGAGCCACCTTCGGCCTCGGGGGCCAAACCATCGGAGGCACGCAATTTCCCCACCCACGAAGCTTGGAGGGCGGGGGTTATACGTCGACTTGGGATGCAGGCCTCTCCGAAGCCTGCTCCTCTGAGTGGCAAGACCTGCGTGGTTTTTCTGTTTCCCAACCATCCTGTGGTGTTGGGCCCTTTTGAAAAGACAGCGCCCCGCGTTCCTCCTCTCATCGCCTCTCCTCGTCCTCCCCCTCTTCCCGTGTCCCATCATCATCATCATCATCATCATCATCATCATCATCATCATCATCATCATCATCATCATCATCATCATCATCATCATCATCATCATCGTCACATCTCCCACACCCAAAACAGCGTTTCGTGGCCACAAAGGGAGCTCCACCTAAGGTGCCAGTGGCGCAGCCCGCATGCGTCTCCCACGCCGCGTACAGCGTTTCGTGGCCCCATAGGGAGCTCAACCGAAGATTCCTATGGCGCAGCCCGCATGCGTCTCCCCACCCAGTACAACGTTTCGTGGCCCCATAAGAAGCTCCACTGAAGGTCCCAATGGCGCAGCCCGCGTCGTCTCCCACACCCAGCACAGCGTTTCGTGGTCCTCAGGGAGCTCCACCGAAGGTCCCAGTGGCGCAGCCCGCATGCGTCCCCCACACACAGCACAACGTTTCGTAGCCCCATATGGAGCTCCACCGAAGGTCCCAGTTGCGCAGCCCGCATCCGTCCCCCGTACCCAGTACAACGTTTCTTGGCTTCATAGAGGGCTCCGCCGAAGGTCCCTGTGTCGCAGCCTGCATGCGTCTCCTTACCCAGTATAACGTGTCGTAGCCCCATAAGAAGCTCCACCGAAGGTCCCAGCTACGCAGCCCACATGCATGTCCTTCACCGGGCACAGCGTTTCGGGGCCCCATAGGGAGCTACACCGAAGGTCCCAGTTGCGCAGCCCGCATGCGTCTTCCCCACCCAGCACAGCGCTTCGTGGCCTGGTAGGGAGCTCCGCCGAAAGTCCCAGTTGCGCAGCCCACGTACGTCTCCCCCACCCAGTACAACGTCTCGTGGCCCCATAGGGAGCTCCATCGAGGGTCCCTGTGCCGCAGCCCGCATGCGTCTCCCACACCCAGCACAGCGCTTCGTGGCCCCATAGGCACCGGCGGTCCCAGTTGCGCAACCCACGCGAGTCTCGCCCTCCCAGTATAACGTCTCGTGGCCCCATAGGGAGCTCCACCGAGGGTCCCAGGGGCGCATCCCGCACGCGTCTCGCCCACCGATTACACCGTTTCGGGGCCCCATAGGGAGCTCCACCGAAGGTCCAAATTGCGCTGCCCGCATGCGCCTCCCCTGCCTAGCACAGCGCCATGTGACCCCATAGGGAGCTCCACCGAGGGTCCCAGTGGTGCAGTCCGCATGCGTCTCCCCCGCCCGGCACAGCGCTTCGTGGCCGTAGAGGGGGGGTCCACCGAAGACGATACCTACAACTGCACATGTTTGGGCCCTTCGCCAGGCTAATTTAGCAACTGCCGAGCCTGACCCAAATCTGTGATTGTTCTGCGTGTTGGCACCACACCCCGTGCAAAACAAAATTGGCGGTTCATGAACGTGACCCTACGCAAACGCTTGCACGATTTCGCGCCCCTAAACAGCTACGGCTGGAGGCGGCCAACCCAGCGCTCCCGACAGGTGGGTCGTCCACCGTGGGGGCTGGGGCTGCAATTCCTCCAAAGTACAACTCGGGCGGGAGGGCGATGCGCGAGCGGAGCGCCTCCCTGCGTTCGCGATGGTTTTCCCACGGTTCCGCATCCACAGCCCCGAGCTGAGAAACGTCCAAACCTAGGTCAATTCGCTGATCAGCCGTGCCTCCGATTCCGTGTGAATCGTGGAAGCCAGCAACGTGCAGCCACTCGTGAAGCCTACCGAGCCAGGGGGATACACCTTCAGCCCTTCGTTCGCAGGCGTCCACAACAATCTTTTGCTGTGATGGGACATCCAACAAGTTTGCACCAACCTCGGCCCGCCTGTCGATCTCGGGGAGGCCCTCGCCTTCTCCCACCAACGCTTCCGCAGATGCCTACGCTCATTCCTGGGGTCGAGGACTCTGGACGAACGCCTGGACGAACGCCGGGCACAACTGACCGATCCAGCACGATCGCTATACAGTTCGAGAACCACGCCTGCGCTGCTTTCGGACAAGGAGCTCCGAAGATTTGGCCAACATGTGGAACGCGGAACCTTCCCCGTGCCGCACCCACTGGTCGGGCCCCGAAGCCTCGGCACCACCCCATACATACAGGCAGCGAAGTTGCCTTCGCAATCTACGTGCGCTGCTGACCAGCCCGCTCGTCACACGAGCCATGCTTCGTGCTGAGCGCCGAACTGTCAACAAACACGGGCCCTCCCCCAGAACCACCCAGGATGGGCCCCGACGAGACGCACGCAATACTCCTCAGGAGCCTCGGGCCGCCCAAAATACTGTTCTGGCGAGGGAAAAAACTGCTGGCGAACAACACTCAGATCCGTTTTCCCCGAACTTCCGTACGCGACTCGCCGCCAGCCCGACCGAGGTAGGCATGTCCGTACGCTTGAAGCTGTCTGGGCACAAGCACAGCACGGTTGTGGAGCGTGCCTGGGCATCTGCACATCCTGCAATCCCCGACATCGACCTACCGTGGCGGAGCAGGCGTTGCTGAGGCCATGGGGTACCAGAGACAAAGCTACGCTCCAAGTTCCTACCGTGCTGCCAGAGCTTTTGCTTGCGGCAGCAGGAAATGCCCTCCATGGGGCTTCCAATTCAACTCTGGGCGCCAACACTGGTATCTGCCCACCGACACGATGTCATTGGCCGCGACGGCCATAGCTTCCACCGCCGACACCGCTCTGCCAAGCGAAACAAGATCCAAATCAACTACCTCTCCTGCGGGTCCTACGATGTCACGGACAAACTGCATCGTAGCACCGATCCTGGCAAGCACAAAGTGGAGCACCTGAGCGGGATTGCTACACTGGCTCCAGGACATTCTGGCGACAAGGATGCTGCAAGACTGCTTCAAAACAGTTTCCAACACGGTCCTAGCAGGCAAGGCGGTCTCGACACACATGGCCCAAGCGTGCGCCACCTCGCCTACATGCACGATTGCGGGGCCCCTCCAGAACCCACAGAAAACATACTTAAGTCTGCGGCCCACAAATTAGCACCAGCAGGGAGCGTACCTTCAGACCTCAGGGTGTTGACGCGCAAACGATTAACGTTATGAACTTCTATACTTTTCACAGCAGAGCCCCAGATGGCGGTGGCGGTCGGAAAACTGCGATGAACCCTCTCAGCCGGTGCTCCAGCCACCCTAAGGTCATGCACTCAGATGGCAATGTCTTTACTTTTCTTGATCATGTTACCCTGCTCAACTACCTATCTCCGGACACCGTCTGAGGCATCATCGCCAAGGTAACGGACGCTCCTGCTGCGCACGACGTCCCAAGACTCTGCAAGCATCTGGCCTCGCTGCGCATTCGCCGTGAGCCAGCCCGTTTTGCTCCAATCGACTTTGAGTTTCCTCTCCGTGAGCCCCGTCACCACGAGACCGAGCGCCACAGGCAGCTGCTTCGCGATCAGGGCTGGCATGCCGAGAGCTTGTAGCAGCTGATCGTTCACCAGGGACTGCGCTCTCACTAGCGGGAAGCGCCTCGCCTGCTCGACAGCAAGGTGTGGACCATCACCTTCGCGAGCCCGTGCGCGCAAAAGCAGCCGGCAGCGATGGTGCCGCTAGCCCTGATGATCGGGCCGATCGCCCCCGCGAACCTCGCGAGCTTAGGCAGGCGGTAGGCGCAGCATCGCGCACGCAGCAGCAGGAGCGGGAAGCCAGTCGATCTATCTTCTCGCAGGAGGATGTCGCGGGGCACGTGCTTTTACTACTTGCTGAGGTCGAGCGCCGCCGTGCCAGCAGCCATGCCTTCCTGGCAGGCACGCCGCTAGCAGATTGTGCACATAGCCCGCGCGGTCGCAGGTCTTGTTCGAGCCGCCTCTGTAAGAAAACCCAGGGAAGCCGCGCTCCCATTCCACCACTCGCGGCTGCCTCATGCTCGACCACAACCTGAGCCGGATGCAGTTGAGGATAGGAGTGAGGAGGAAGAGGAGGAGGGGGCAAGGCACTCGCACTCGCACTCGCACTCGCACTGAAGCCGTACGCCGTCCACTAAGCTCAGCACAACCTGCCGTGCCAGCAGGCTGTGCTGAGCTTGCAGTGCAAGAGGGAGCCTGGCCCGCAAAGCAGGCTGGCGGTGCAAGAGAGAAGGGGAACTCGCCATCGCTCGGAGGTCCATTCCCCGTGCATGTGTCGGCTTCGTGTATTTTGTCGCAAGATGGCCCAACCTATTCCCCGCGGGAAGGTAGGACTTGCCGTCGCTCGTACGTCCATTCCCCATGAATTTTGGTCGGCTTCGTGCGATTATCTTGGCAAGATGAGCCGAGATGCTCCTCGAAGGCACTCGCCGAGGAACACATGCACGCGTCCGAGCGATGCCAAGAGGAATGAAGGGGAAGGGGAAGTGGGGGCGGAACACCCAAAGGTCTTCGTGGGGGCCTCCGCGGGAGGCCTCTGGAATCGGGAGGGGCCAAGTCCGGACGGAGACCGAGCACGCCGTGCGGACATACTCCGTACGGCCTTGGCATCCTGTCTGGAGGGGCAACAGATCTGGATGGCCAGACGGAGACGGAGCACTCCGTACGGACTTGGCTGAAGGGGCCCACGGACACAAATAATTGCACACAAAGAACAAGATTCCTCATATTTTCCCATCTGTTCTCTGGGTTTTGTCTTCCCCCCCCACTTCCCATCTTTTCGCACATTTCCCTTGGAATCGACGATTCATTGTGCCTGTGTTTTTTTTTCTCCTCCTATCAGGAGAGGCAACAGATCTGGTTGGCCAGACGGAGACCGAGGACTCCGCACGGACCTGACATGCCGCCGGGAGCCTCCAGAGGGGTATATCGCCAGGGCCACGCGCACCGGGGCAAGGAGGCGGGTGCCGCTTTCCAAGGCCACCTGCGCGCTGCCACGCGCCCGAAGATAGGTCCAGCCGGACCGCCCGAAGGGAGGCTCGGGCCGGGCGACAGGGGGGGATAGCAAAGGGGGGGGGGTGAGACTCAGCTCGCGCAGCTGATTTTCCCGGCGCCTCCCGGCGCCGGGGGCGACCATGCATCGAAGAGTGGGCCCCTCGGCGGGGCTGAAACCAGCTGCATGCAGAAGTTTTCGTAACCCCCCTTTCCCGTTCCCCCCCTTGCGTCCGACCCGAGAGGCGCGCGGGCCCGGCGGGTGGGAGGGGGGTCGGCGCCGGCACGCCGATGACCACGCCGCCGAGGCCCAGCCGCCTCTGCGCCTCCAGCAGCCCGGCGGCTTGCGCCGGCCCGTCCACGCGGCAGGAGGCGGGCAGGCCGCTGCTGGGGGTGAGGGCCGGCCGCGCGAAAGGGGAGGCGGCCGCGCCCAGGCTGTGGTCGTCGTGCTGCCACCAGTCGGCGGCGAACCCGGGGGGGGAAGCGAGAAGGGGCGGGCCTGCTCAGAAGGTTCGGGAATCCCCCCCGGCCGTCCGAGAAATGTTCTGAGCCATCCCCGAAGACACGGGAAACTGCTGAGAGGCCGGAGGCTCCCAGGAGAAGTCCCGCCGCCTTCTGCGAAGGCCTTCTCCTTCTCACTTCCCCCCTCGCTTGCCGCCGACACAATGAACTTAACATGAGGAGTCGAGGGGCTTTTCTGGCCACGGCGGTCCTAGGCCACAAACAGGCTCCACGACCTGATCTGAGGAACGGCCCGAAAACGCAAGCCCCTCCTGAGCTCAAAGCGGCCCTTGTTTCAGCGTCTGGATTGTAAATGGGGTCGGGGGA